CCGGGAGCAGCCACTGCACTCCAGTCTGGGCAACCGAGTGAGACTCCAACTCAAAAAAGAAATAAACTTCTTCCTTCCAGTTCTCTGCCTAATTTTATTGGCATCCAGAGATAGCAGCCGAGACTAGTAACACCATGTGATAGATCATGCTAGTCTCACCACTTTATAAACAGGAAATTTGAACTTTTTTTTTTTTGAGTTGGAGTTTCACTGTCACCCAGACTGAAGTACAGTGGCACACTCTGCTGGGCTCTGACAATCCTTCCACCTCAGCCTTCCAAGTAGCCAGAACGATAGGCGCATACTACCATGCCCAGCTAATTTTTGATTTATTGTAGAGACTAGGTCTCACCAAGTTGCCTGAGTGGGTCTTGGACCCTCGGGCTCAGGCAATCCACTTGCCTCGGCCTCCCAAAGAACTGGGATTACAGGCTAAGCCACCAAGTCTGGCCGAAATTTGACCTTTGACAGTTGAAGTTGAGGCAGTCTAGATAGCACATGTTAGACATAGAGATAAATATTTTGTAGGCAAGTTTTAGGATGCTTCTGGACATTTTTTATTACTTTTTTTTCTTCAACTGCAATTCAGTCTGGAATGTGAACTCAGCAACCTACCCACCCCTCCTCAGCTAACCAGATGAAAATTCTATCAGATTTAAGAATAGGACAGCCCAACCTTTCAGTTCATAATCACCCAAATCCTTTAGGTTTCTCATGCAAGGTAGAAAGTTCACCCCATCCTTCACTGATAAAAACCATAGAAATGATAATAAGACCACTTCTCCTCCCATCAGAGGTGAAAAGAGCTCTGTGTGCTACCCTCATTAGCATATTAAAAAGTAGCTATGCCTGACTTTAAGCTGAGCGCATAAGTGTGGTTTTTCAAAAAAAAATCACCCATGGCAGGTCTTTCTGCCATGAATCATCCTTTTTCCTTCTCTTCTCGCTAATCAACTCTGTTTTAAAACAGCTGGTGACCAGGCTCCGTGGCTCAGCCTGTAATCCCAGCACTTTGGGAGGCCGAGGCGAGAGAACTGCCTGAGCCCACAGGTTTGAGACCAGCCCGGGCAACTTGGCATAGATCTCTTCTCTACAATTAAAAAAAAAAATTAGCCGGGTTCGGTGGCTCAGCCTGTAATCCCGCGCCTTTGGGAGGCTGAGGTGAGTGGATTGCCTGAGCCCGCGGGTTCGAGACCCGCCTGAGCAGGTGAGACCTCATCTATACAATAAATCAAAAAAAATTAGCCGGGTGTGGTAGTGCGCGCCTGTAGTTCCAGCTCCTTGGAAGGCTGAGGCGGAAGGATCACCGGAGCCCAGCAGGTCGAGGCTGCGGTTGCCGGAAGCAGCCACTGCACTCCAGTCTGGGCGACAGAGTGAGACTCCAACTCAAAAAAAAAAAAAAAAAAATAGCTGAATGTGGTAGCACACCTGTAGTTCCATCTACTTGGAAGGCTGAGGCAAAGGATCACTGGAGCCCAGCAGGTGGACACTGGGGTGGCCGTGAATGTGCCACTGCACTCCAGCCTGGGCGACGGAGTGAGACTCCATCTCAAAAAAAAAAGAAAACTTTGCTGGCAACTCTAAAATCCATCTTAGGGCCCAAAGATCCCATAAGTTTTTACTGCATACCACCCAACATCAAAGTAACTTGTCTAAGAACACATAATTGATACAAAATTTAAACCCAGCTTAGTCTGCTGCAAAGGCCCTGTTTAACCAGGATTCCCCACTGGCATAAACCAAACATGAGTGAAACCCAAGCATGACTTTCCTTCAGCGATTTCATCCATTCTCCCAGCTACCTCTGTCCCTTGTATGATAATTACATGGCAACCAGTAGGACTTCAGTGTGGACCGAATCATCTTTTTTTTGAGTAGGAGACTGTGTCACTCAGGCTGGAGGGCAGTGGCACGCTCATGGTTACTGCAGCCTCGACCTGCTGGGCTCATGTGATCCTTCCGCCTTAGCCTTCAGACTAAATCATCCTGAGCTGGCAAAAATTTCAAATAGGCTGGGCTCGGTGGCTCAGCCTGTAATAATCCCAGCACTTTGGGAGGCCGAGGTGAGTGGATTGCCTGAGCCCGCGGG